CCCCCAGACCTCCTCTCAAGGAGAAAAGGAAAGAGCAAAGACCCCACCTGGGGTTTTTGCTTTCATCCGCTCCCTGAAGCCCTGTAGGTCTGCCCAGCTGAGCTGGAGCTGAGAATGAGAGTGGAGACAAGTGGGGGTAGACCTGGAGACACAGGCTGGGTTCTGGGGCAGGGGCGTGCAGAGTGTTTCTCAGCTCCCTTGTTCCATATTCTTTCCTCTTTCTGCTCAGGACCTCAGTCTGATGTCTTGAAAAGCTACTCATGGAAGTTCTGTCTTCACTGACCAGATGGGCTGAGTTGGGGTCTTTCAAGACACCTTACCTTGCTATCCCATCCTCACTCTCTTAGAAATCATCTCCAAGAGCAAATGGCCTCAAGGAGCTCAAACACAAAGGAATTTGTAGCTTAGTACTTATGCTGCCCAGAGAAAGCAAAGAATTAGAGAGATTAATCAGGGCCTTTCCTAAAAGAATCCGTTTATCTGGCCTGACCTAAATATTTTAAGCAAAAGTGTTTCGGTGCAATTGGGAGAAGGATGGTCCAGAGTCACTTGGTAAAATAAAAGTAAATGTAACAAAGCTAGAGGTAGCCCCGCTGCATTTACTCCCTCTCCCCGGTCCCTCCCCCACCACCTGGCTGGCAGTCCAGAGTGCAGGGAGAAAAAAAGGGCGGGACAACTGGACAAAATGACCTTGTACAGACTCCAGTTCCCTGTGTAAATTTACAGTTTCCTCCAGGAACTGATTTTTACAGCGGGGAGATTATGATTCAATTATATATTATGTGGGAGAAATATTGGGGAATCCAAACTAAAACAGTCAGGCTTCAGAGAGCCTAGAGCACACACGTTTCCTCCCTTTCCTCCCTTCGGAGGTTTGAAGGAAGGAGAGATTAGCTGCCTCTCACTTTTTTCAGCTGTTCGGAATTTGGTATTTTTGGAGGGGGGCAGTGGAGACAGGATTAGGAAGAAAGGGAGCAGGTTTGGGCAGGGACTAAGAATCCCTAACACCGTACCCCCTGGTAACAGCCTCTGTCTAGGTGCTTCTCTTTGATCCTCTGACACTGGGAAGTGGCTGCTATTAACCCCATTTTACAGATGAGGAACCACAGACCCCAGTGGGAAGCTAATGCCCCTGAATAGTTTCAAACCTCGGGGGAAGGACTAGAGGGTAAGGTGGGGAGAGTAAGATGTGGATGAAGGATGAGTGAGAAGGGAGGGGATGGGGCATCGGGGAAAGGTAAGGTCCAGGAGAGATGAGAGCCTTAGGCCTGGTTGTGATCCGAGGAGGAGGAGGAGGGGGAGGAGGAGGAGCACCAAGAAAGACAGGCTTTTTTTTTTAAGATTTTATTTATTTATTTGACAGTGAAAAGGAACACAAGCAGGGGGGTGGCTGGAGAGGCTGAGCAGGGAGCCTGATGATGCAGGGTGGGCTCCATTCCCGGCCCCGGGATCATGACCTGAGCCAAGGCAGATGCTTAACCGACTGAACCACACAGGTGCCCTCCCATTTTTTTGTTTGTTTGTTTGTTTGTTTTAACTCTTCATGCAGCTGGTTGGAAATGCATGTTTGGGATCTGCTGAGACTCATCCACATAAGACTTAGAACTTATATTTTAACCACAGTGGGTTTATATTGTTATTGTGGGGCCCCATGAGCACATCTGACCTCTGGGTGTCCCAAGGAGACTAGAGGGCCTGAGGGAGCGGCTGGGTGGAGGGCTTACACCCTACACAGAACAAATACCTCCTGGGGGGGGTAGAGGCCGGGAGGGATGTGGGCGGGGGGTGGGGGGTGCTGCCTTCTGTGTACCCGGCCGGTGAGCGTGGGCGTGTGGGCAGGGCTGTCAGGAGAACGATGGAAGCCTGTGCTGGGAGCTGTCTGTGTCTGCTCGCGAGGGTGAGAAACTGAGTGACCCAACATGATGCTGGACGTGTGTGTGTGTGTGTGTGTGTGTGTGTGTGTGTGATGGATCCACGGTGGGCAGGAGGCCTGGCTGTCCGATCAGGGATGCCTGACTAGGCATAACTGTAAATCCAGTAGAGGAACAGACACTCTGGGGTTGGGGAGGGTTTACCAAATGCAGACATCACAGTGATACCATTGAGTCCTGCCACCCGCCTCCCCCAACTTTTATTCCAGATGACACCTCCTCCAGCTGAGCCCACTAGGCAAACTGATGGGGTAGGGGTGCAGGGAGGCTGGCTTGAAGGGGCTCGCAAGGGCTTCACCCATTACCAGTTAGCGAATTTCTGGCTTGGTATCATCACACCTCTGTGTTCACGAGTTTTTAGTTTTTTGTTTTTTTTTTTACGAGTTTTTAGTTTTATTCTTCTGATCTTGCGACATCCACCTATTTCTACTCGGATGGTTTCTAAGCTGGTTTCTTCACCCATTTTCCTCCCTCGCCCTCATTCCAGTGCCTTCCTATTGGATTCTGAGTCCAGGGGTTCAAAGGCAATTTTCTCCAAAATATCTGACTCAAGTTTTGATTATCACTCACACCCTCACCCTGGGTCAGATTTTCCCCAATTCAGGGCATTGAAAGGTTTCCCCAGTCATAAACATCGTCACCGTCAGCAAGCCTGGGGAGGGACAGAAATGCAAAGAGCATATGTGACTGGACCAAGGTTTGTACTTGGGTGTATCACTTACCAGCTGCAACATCTCTGAGCCTCAGCAGGATGTTTATATAAAGAAGAGACAAATGTATGCCCCCAGGTTTGTTACATGGAGCAAACAAAGAATTCTATGTAAAAGATCTTGTAATATGTTATCATATCCATGGGCAAAGAGTCATTTTTTTGCTACAGTTCAGAACAATGATCTGAAAGCATATGATCGATCTCAGAATGCAGAAAAGGACAGCTCTTTGGTATGTTCTTGACTGAGGATCTCAACACATTTCAACTTGAGGAAGTTCCTTCCTTCTTTTCCAGCTTTGGAGTAGAGGAGGGACTGCTGGGGACCTGGGTAGGCAGTGTCTGAAGGCTGGTGAGAGGACGAACAGCCCATTCAGGGAAGAGCCTAGAGTCCTTGGGGCAGAAGGGCCATCGTATTTTCTCTTCTGAAAAGATCTTATCACCTATTGGTAGAGTACTTACGATTGGTAAACTGACTTATGTAGATAGAGAAATACGGCATGAGTAGATGATAATTCCAAGCTTATTCCATTAAGTTTCTAGAATTACTAAAAACACAGTTTATTTAGGTAAAGGACCCGGTAGGCAGTGGGTATAATAAACAGACCAAATGGAGACCTGCCTATCAGCGTGCAGACTTTTCTTCAGCACGGAGCAACTTTAAGCAGGAGTGTTTTCTCTCCTCTTGCCTCCCAACCTCCCACCTCCCTGACTGCCAAATCAATTCCCCAGGTTAGTAACCCGCCAGAGAAACACAGGCCCCTCTGTGTTCTTCTGGGTCTAGAAGTCCTACTTGAAGTCTGCCCTTCCCAGGGTTTGGGAACTGGAATATTCTGATACTTATTTCTTCACCTCATTCCCACCTTAATGCTCTGGGTACAGATTGACCTTTTCACCTTCTTTCCTTCCTTTGCTATCGAGATCTCAGAGATCTTGGGGGGTTATGGCACGATCTCATCCAGAGGCAGGGTGTGCCAACTTCCCTAGGAGAAAAATGCATTTAGGTTAATGCTTTAAAATCATTGAAAGGAAGGAGTAGACAAAACTATGAAAACATTCTCAGAGCTTTGAGGAAAATGAGAAGCAGGGTTATGGAAGGTAAAGGTGCGTAGGTGCATATTTAGATAGGAGAGAGGTGAGAGAAAAGGGGAACCCTTCCTTGCCACCCAGGCTCTCCCAAGGCTCAGAGTGACACCCCCCTCCTCCTGCCCTAATCCCCCCATTAAGACTGCTCTCAGTTTGTTATGACAGCGGCTGAAGGCAGCTGAATTGCTGTTTGCCGTGTCTGCTAATTGGACTGAAGGGTTGGAATCTGGACACTGAAAGAGACCATTGTTGCTGTTTACCTTCTACAACTGCCTCCCTGGGGACCTTCTGGGTGAAGGGGAGCAGCATGCCCTCAGGGTTACTGCACCCATGCCCTGTCTCTGCACAAGGGACTGCGCTGGGGAGACAGTTCATCTCATTGCCTGATGTCATTGGGATGGTTTGAGCTTCCACAGCACAGAAGAGACAAGCCCAACACCTGAGTCAGTCTCCCATCCAGATGGGGTCTGGGGCCACCAAGAGTTCCCAGGAGAGGGAAGTTAGATGCTTGTCCTTCTCTTCCCTATTCATTCCCTACTTCTTCAGGGGCCCTAGCTTTGTCTCTTCCTCTGGCTGATCAGGCTTAACCCCTGTACTTTTTCTTAGGTGCTTTCTTCCAGGCCAGTGATTCTTGACTTGGTTATGCACTGAAATCACCTGGGGAGCTTTAAAAAAAATACTGATGTTTGGGTCTAGTTCCAGACTGATGAAATCAGAGTATCTAGGAAAGTTCTCTGGGTATTTCTAATGTGCAGCTAGGGTTAAAAACCACTGAGGCTGGCTTACCCTTCTGCCTGGGACACACACACACGCACACACACAGAGGCACCCAGGCAGACCTGTGCCCTTTCTTACCTTCCCTACTTTTCCTCTCCAGCTCTCCGTATCTGTAATACTGTTGGGCACCTGAGTATCTATCTCATCTTTATTACTAAATTCCTTGTGGGAACCGTAGAATTTAGGGTGGAATGTAGAGGTGTGCACCCCATCAACTACCTCAACCTGAGCTCTTCCCCAAGGGCAGGAACTATGACTCTATCTCCCCGTGGATTTCCAAACAGGATCCAGATGAAGACTGAGCTAATCTAGGGCTCTTACATCCTTAGGGATGGAGGGGTGTGAGGTTCAGAGTTGCACTGACTCTTGGGCTCTTCCTCCCCCCCAAGTCCTTTTGGCAATTGGGATATCTTCAGAGAGGAGAAACTTTCTTCTGCGTTATCTGCCCCTTTGCTTACAAGTTTCCAAAATGTTTCTGCTTCTTCTCTTCCCTTTAGCTTCTCACCTGGGGCGGGTGGGTGCGCCACCACCCTCCCGCCCTCTTTCCTCCACGCGTGAGCCAGAGCCGCATCCAGCACCACGGACAGCTCCCGGGTGGTGAGTAAGCCGGCCGTGCTGGCCCCCTCTGGGAGGGTGAGGAGGGGGTCCTTCTATCTGTCTCTAGATTGTGTTATCTGTGGGATTTGTTTGTGGGCAGCTGTGGAGTCTTGGGAAGAGGAAAAGGCTGAGGGCAGTTGGCATTCCATCTTCAGGAAACCGTGTTTGTCCTCTTTGGGGAGTCTGAGTGAGGGGCCGCTGCTGCAGCAGGAAGGATGAGAGTTAGATTTCAGGAAGGATTTAACTGAAGCTCTTGTGAGGTCAGGTAGAGCTAGAATAAGCCTCCGCCCTATATCCCTCATTTTACAGATTCCTAAGAGAGTGGAGGAGTTATGACCAAGGTCACTCAGCGAGGTAGTGGAAATGCCAAGATGAAGCCTCCTGAACTCCAGCCTGGCCCTGCCCACCGTGTCTGATATATCCTGTGGGGGCCTCCCTGCCTTTGTTGGGATGCTGATGCTGGTAGAGAACGTTCACAGGTTGTCCTTGCACAAAAAAAGACAGGAGGCATGCGTGGACATGTGCGGTGTCCACACAAGCCAGGAAGAGGTGGGACCAACTTCTCTCTCTGTCCGTGGAGGTTTGGGGGGGAGGCCTCGGACAGAAGCACAGGGGAAGGCATACCAAGCAGTAGCTGGTAAGCCCACGGGAGAAAAGGCAAGGGGGCAACCATCTGCCAGGGCACAGAGGCCAGCGGATGACCACAAGGAGTCTCCAGAGGCCAGCAAGAGTCACGCAAACTGGAACAGGGCCTGGGAAAGGCCCTTCTGTGTGCCCAGGCCTGCTTCTCCAACACCGGGAGCCCAGAAACAAAGGGGCCATTCTCTCTAGGATGTGATGCCGCCATCTCCGGCTGGCAGTGCCAGGTGGTGGGGGCATCAGGGGGTGTCAACCTATTATCTCCCCCCCCAACTCTTAGGTCCTCTGGGGCTGGATGTTGGAGAGGTGGGTGTTCCATGCTACGTTGCCATGGCAACCGCCCCAACCCCCACCTTCCTAAGCACAAAGAGAGACAGCTTTCACCCCCACCCCCAGGAAGAACCTGGGTCTGGTTGGGAATCTTCCCTTGGGAATCCTCCTTTCTGATGCACACGCCTTGGCATGCATGAGCATCACGCTCTTTTCAGCCCTGGAGCCGAGCTGTACAGGCAGAGAGGCTGGTGCAGCCAGAGACTCTGGGAAGGTTGTGTGAGTGAGCAGGACTCCCTTGTACTTAACCCTCTCCCCTCAAGCTCCCCTGTCCCTCACCTACAGCCCAGGCCATCCTGGGCCTTCTCAGCTCAGGTGACAGAGGCCTTGACCTTCTAGTATTTCCCAGAAGTGAGGGACACCCTGCTACCCCCAGCAAGCCTCCAGGCTGTGGGAACAGGAGAAGAGGAGGGGGTCATTTCTGCCACCCTCCATCTGCACCCTCCGCCATTACTCATTAGGCATTCTGCCCCCTCCTTCCGCTCGTTAAGCCTGATTTGCATATATTTGCATAATACAACTCATTTGCATTCCAGGAGGCTCATGGTAGGAGCCAGGAAAAAAGGGGAGGGGTTGGGGAAGAGAGAAAAGGGGAGAGATTTTGTTTTCATCAAAGTGTGTGTGGGGGGGAGGTGGCAGGAAGAGGACAGAAATAAAAACTCACACTACTTTCTTTCTTCCCTTCTGCCGTCCCTCCCTGAGCTGGACTCAGATGCCAAAGAGAGATGCCAAGGGGCCGGCTTTTCTGTCCTTTTTTGTCTTGCTTCCTCCGGGCTTGGCTCCCCAGCCTGGCCCCCCACCTTGTTGGGCTCAGGCTTCAGAAAGAGAGAGACAGGGGTAGGAGGCAATGCTGTGGGAACGGAAGCAGAGGGAGAGGGAGGCCGCCATCTTAGGCAGCTAGAGCCCCTAAGATGTCCACCTCTGACAGGTGGATGGACATGGTGGGGGGGACGGGGGTGAGGCCACAGGAAGCACTTGGCTGGCTGACCAGAACGTGGTTGAGTGTTCCTGCTCCTGGAATTGGGAAGAGAGGATGGGAGAGAGGGAAGGCAGGAGAGATGAGGCATGGCAACCCCAGAGGGGCATGAGCTTGGCATAGGGGCAGGGCTGGTAGAGAGGCCTCCCGTTTCCTTCCAGACCCCTGGTGAGCCCGGCAGTCAGAGGACCTGGCCGAGGATCTGATGGACTGTGGGTAATGTAAAAATCCTGGAGGGGTCAAACTGGGCATCTCAGCAGGAGGAAGGAGAGGGTAAGTGGTGGGTAGGCAGGACCACCTGCCAGGCTGCTGTGTACTTGAGGTGAAGCTTTGAGTCTTCTCTGCCCACCGTCCCCGCTCAGGCTGGGCGACCCCTACAGAGCATTTCCTGCTGGCATCATCCTATCTGCTCCCGTGGCCTTTGACTGTCCTGTTACATCCTTGCTTATGCGTTCTGGCTTCTGCTCATTCGGTCCTCTGTCTGGGTTGGCCAGGTCTCCATCATGAGTGCTCCCCAGGGTTCTGCAGCCCTGCTAGTGTATCCCATCAGCCATCGTGGGGTTCCAGATGCTCTCCCACTTCGCTCATTCTGGCCTCTCTGAACTCCAGATCCATTCCCCTACCTGCTCTCTGTGCTCCCGCCCTTAGCTCCCGGGGCAGAGGTTGAAGGGGTGCACCTGCATCATGGATGATCAGGCCCGAGCTGCAAGGAGGGCCGGGAGGGCTCCCCTGCTTGCTGCTCCCCAGGCGTGGTCCAGAGTCCAGATGCTCACAGGTTCAGCCCTGCTTACGGTCTGGCCGGGCTCCTGCCCCCACCAAACTCCTAGGCCCTCAGGTCCCATCGGGAGCAGGCCCTCCCCCTCCACACCACCCACACCAGGACCCATCTCCCCCTCTGTAGTGCCCCTCACACCCACACCTTCCTCTCCCTTCACTCTGCCTCCACGTCCACTCATTCCATCAACAGGCATTTACTGCGTGCTTGCTCTGTGCCGGGGTCGTGCCAAAGACGAAGGTGGGGCCCAGGGCTGGTCTGAGGAGCTAATGGTCCGGCAGGGAGGGCAGACACACAGGATTCACAGGACGGGGAAGACCTGGGCTGGTGCTGCAGTTAGGGAGGGCCTCCTGGAGGGGCCAGAGGCGAGGTGGTGACATGGGGGGGTGAAGGTGATAAAAGGTAGACAGAGTGTCATCAAGTCCAAAGTCTGAGGAAGTGGGTGGTGGAGAGTAGACAGGCAGGGTCGGGGCTGTCCATTAGGGGGACTCCGGGCCAGGAGGAGATGGGACATGGACCCCACCAGGGAGGCTGGATGTGACGGGGTGCTGGGGAGTTAGCTGACAGCCTCAGAGATGCTGGGAGCGGGGGTACAGCTGAGGGGCAGCACATGACCACTCCCAGAAGGGAGCAGGACATGCATCCAGCTGCCTACTCAGCCCAGTGCCCAGCTCGATGTTTCACAAGCTCCTGGTTAGGTCTGCGAATGAAGGAACATGTTTAAGGCCTGGGAGCCACCTGAGGAAGGGTCTCTGCCTCTACCCCCGGCCTCGCCCCACCATCCACATGCACATGGGTAGGCTTGTGGGAGCTCTCTGGGAAGAGAGGTGGAGAAGCCAGGGTTGGTGCCCAGCAGCGGTCCCCCGAGGTCAGCAAAGAAGACGGGCAGCTGGGGACTGGAGTGAAGAGCAGAGAAGACACTGGGTCCTGGGAAATCCCTGGCAGAGGGGGTGAGGGACAGGGTGGGTTGTAGGGGGTGGGCCAGGGCTCTGAGGGGATCCCTCCTGGAGAAAGGCTGTGGGAGGCTGGGGAGGCAGCTGTGGAGGTGAGGCACTGCTACTGGCCACTGCGGGGGAAGGGAAGTAGGGGTGCGGCCCCACCCTTCCCCCAGGCCCAGCCTCTGCACAAAGGCTTCTCTGTGAGTGGCCATGGAAGGGGCCCTGTCAGGTGAGGGGGCTTAGCTCCCAGAGCCCACGGGTGGGGGAGGGTGCAAGGGTGTTGGAGGAGGGGAGGACTGAGGGGTAGCTCAAGCTTTAACCAGACCCAGGAAGGAAATGGAGAAGCTGAGATCTGGCCAGGCTCTCACAGTGACAGGCTCCTCTCCAGGGTCCCCGCATGGAGGCCTTGCTGCTGGCCTTCTTCCCCGCTGCAGCTCCCCATCCTGCCAGCTCCCCCAGCCTCCCTTCCCCAAGCCATAGCTTCCCTTCCGTGGTGCTCCCCAGCTCCTGCACAGGGACCCCCCCCCCCAGGGAGGGTTGTGTGGGGAGGGTGGAAAGAAGAGAGTCCCGAGGCTGCCTGAGACTCCACCCAGTCTTGCCGTCCCTGGGGGAGGTTTCTCTCCTTGCCTGGTCTCCGTGTCACTTATTGCTGACCAGCAGCATGGATAGACCGTCCCTACCGCCCCCGCCTCATTGTGCACACCGTTCCTTCTCATAAATGTTTGGGTTTGGGGCGCCAACAGCAGGCAGGATGTCAGCTTGCAGCTTGCTCACACATTCGGTAGAAGGGCTCCATCCACTGGATGGACAACAGAAGGAGGTTTCGGTTGTTGATCCTGAAATTGGACAGGCTGGTCAGGATGCAAACCCTGGCTTCCCTCCCTTACAAGCTAGGTGACCTTAGGCAAGTCACTTAAGGTCTTTGGATCCTAACTTCCACAGCTGTCCTGAGGGATCAGATGGGTCCGTGTGAATGAGGGTGTTTTGTAAGGTTATATGCAGATGTCCAGCGCTAATTCTAAAAGGGACGCAGAGTTAGAAGGGCCGTTGCAGGTAGGTGGGAACAGTCAGGGAAGGCTTCCGTGGCTTGGAAGTGAGGGTGCGATCGCTGGGGCGGAGGGTGAGGGACTGGGTGCAGTCCGTGGTGGAGGCCTGTCTGAGGAGCGTGGCGGCAGCTCTCGTGGCCTCCGACCGCCGAGCATCTTTAACACCTAGACGGTGGACCCCGTGACGGCAGCTTCTTTTACCCTTCCCTCTGGCCCTGTGTAAACACTGACCCGCAGGCCTGGGGGGAGCAGGGCTGAAGTTCCCCCACATTGCCCTAGCCCTGCGGCCCTCACGTTGGGGTTCTCCAGAGGGCACGTTCGCCAGACACCGTGCCCCTCAGTGAGTGTGTCCAAGAGCCGCCTCCAAGCCTGCTGCACCAGACTCTCTCCGGTCCCCGATGCTACTCAGCGTTGCCAGGAGTGAGCTCAGTCCAGACTTCTCTAGATCCCTCAGCCCATGGGCCCGCAAGACTCTGAGCAGCAGGGTCTTTTGTCTCTAAGCGGTCACTCCTTGTGGTACAAGCAGGAGCTAGGAGGGGGAGTGGTGTGGTATTATCCCCACAGATATCCGTGGGGCCTGGAGGCCTGCGGGGAAGGGCCAGGCTGAGGCTGGCATATGGAGGGACAGCCCTGGGCACAGGGGCATGAGCCTCACCCGGCCAGGGCTACCTTCTGCCGGCTTTGTCCATCTGGCACCAGCTGGCTTTCCAGCGCTGCCCCACAACCCACCGTACTCCTCCTGCTGCTGTTGCCATAGCAATTGGCTGCCATCTTGTACTCAGGGCAGTACCTCCTGTCTGGATCTTCCCATGGGGTTCCCGGAGGATGGGAGATAGGTCTCCAGGGATGGATCCCTTCCTCCTGCTAGCCGTCCCATAAAAATTAATGTTAACGTATGATTTTTTAAAAATAGCCAAGATGGAGGCCAGCGGTATGTCAGGCTCAGTGCTGAATGCTCCCCGTGTGTTATGTAATATGGCCGAGGAGGCACTCACGTGATCAATGGAAATGGTTCCCACCCAGTTTCTTATTTCTGTGATGGGCTTTTCCTCTCTCCAGCCAGGAGATTCCATGATCCTGCACATTCCTGTCTTGGGAAGTCCTTGCCAGTGTCTGGCCCTGCTGTGTGCCCAAGCACCTGCTCTTCGACCCTTGGCTTGACGTGGCTACTTTGAGAAGTGAGGAACACACAGCCACACAGATGCAGTCACTTCACTGGGCTTCCTGGACTCCAGCTGTTGGCACTTGGCCAGCTTGGTGAGGTCCCGGAGCCCCTTCGAGACTTGGGGACCCAAGTCTAAGATCTGTTGTTTAGAGGGGCGCCCGGCCGGCTCAGTCCGTAGAACGTGTGGCTCTCAATCTCAGGGTCATGAGTTCAAGCCCCACGTTGGGCGTGGAGCCTACTTACAATAATAATAATAATAATAATAATAAATAAAATCTTGCTTAGACAAGGGGAGTCTGTGTCACAAAATGCTTTGAAATTCCCCTTGCCCCCATCCCCACCCGAAGAGAGAAGCCCGAAGCAGAGGCCTCTGGAAAGTGATAGTGTCCCAGGCCCTCAGGGTTGGCGGGGGGGTCCCCTAGGAAGGCAGTCTCCCTGCTCCCAGCATTCGGGAGGTTCTGACAGGGTCCCTGAGAGATCCTGAGATGGTGAGGACTCCCTCCCTCTGGAGCTCAAGCAGAAGGCAGAGGATGGTCACCTTGACCCAGAGGGGCATCCCGAAGGGGCACTGAGCAGGGTCTAGCTTTGCCGGGGGAATCCTGAATGAGGGGCAGGTGGAGAGAGAGAAAGGAGGCCATTCTCCACTGAGGCAGGGTGGGCTGGCAGGGAGGGGCTGGGATGATTTACGACATCATTGTTTCCCCGCCCCCCACTACTGGACGGTTGCTAGGAGATGCTGGCTATCTGTGTCTGGGCGGGAGGGTGAGGCTGCTCCATCTGGACCCCTTCTCCCCTCCTCTGAGCTTCACCCATTACCCCTCCCCAGACCCCGACACACCTTCCCTTCTGTTGGCCCCCAAATCCAGCCAGCCTGGGGCTCATGGGGCTCCCAGGCCGGCTGAGGATCTGGGACCAGGAAGCCAACCGGGAGCCCTGGAGGGAGAGGCCAGCAGACTCAGCTGGGGTGCTGAGGAGTGGCCGGCTCACCTCAGGGCCTCTGGGAGCCAGGGCAGGATGAGGGCCAAGGGAAGTCGGGGCCTCGAGGAGCCCAGGTTTGAGGTAGACTGAGTCCAGTGTGATGGGTGAGGCAGACCCCAATCACACCCCTCCACAGTACGGCCCAAGTCAAGGTTAGCGGCCTGTAAAGGCCAGGTTTGGGGTCATGGGGTGGAGAACTGAGGGCAGGGGAGAATAAGGCTGGACCATCTGATCTGAGCAGAGGTACGCTGTGTCGGGGCATGGCTCAGATCCCTTCCTCTTCCGGAGATTCTCTCTTCAGATTTCAAAGCCCTTGGAGAATCAGATGGGTGAACTTTAGGGACTCCTAAAGCTGCTGGCTCCCAAGTCCTGCGGGGAAGGAGAGGGACGCGTGCCCACAGAGGTGCTCCTGATACCAGAGCCCACCTGGATTCGGCACCCGCTTGCTCATGCGAGCCCCCTCTCTCAGCCATGTTCTCCATCAGTCTTCCAACAGGCCTGGAAACTGGCTTGTACTGTCCTGCACTTTGCAAAGGGGCAGTCAAGGCCTGACAAAGGACATGTGACTTGCCCAGAGTCAGGGGTTAGTAAGCTGGGCTGGGGCTTCAGATGAGGCCTGGTGGGTCCTCTGCACACGCTGCCTCCCTCCCCTGTGGCTCCCGCAGAACAAGTTCCTAACACACTGGGAGCGACTGAGGGGCAGGAGCAGATGGGCGGGGGCCTAGCAGCCCGTGTCCAGGTACGAAGCTGGAGGGATGCTAACACCGTCCTTGTGGGTGAAGACAGGACCGGGGAAGAGGCTACAGTTGCTGCGGAAGCCACTGGAATCCTCCCAGGTTGGTCCCCGGCCAAGGGAAGCATGTTCCCCACCTTTGGCCAAGTCCCCTGGGCCACCGCCTCATCTCTCACCTGCTGGGGATCTGAGTTCCCCATCCTGTCATGGCCCTGGGTAGAGCTCCTGGAAGAGATGCCTAGACTCAGCCCTTTATCATGGAGCCTTCCAGCCCTTGCCTTTCTGGTGGAGGGGAGCCCCGAGGGCCGCTGGACGAACTCCCCGGAATTCTGTCCTCTGCCTCCTGCCAAGGTCTCCATCCAAAGAGAACCTTCTTCACTCTTGACACTTCTTTTCAGACCAAAAGAAGGACCTATTTCACCCAGTTGGTGTGGGCGCCCTCTGAGAAGCCCTCCTGGATTGACCCAAGATGAGGCTACACTCTAGCAATTGGCTGGCTGCTCCAGGAGGCCCCTGAGCAGGATGGAAGTGGCCAGGCCCTGGCTCCAGCCTGGGCTGCCTATCCCCCCTGGAGCCACCGGGGAGACTTCTTTCCACCATGCTCCCGTGTCTGCAGCTGTCCACCTGGCCCATCCCGATCCCTCCTATGTCGTCTGAGCTGACAGTCCTCTGAGATGGAGGTCCCATCTCATGTCTAATAAAGACTCCTGAATGCTGAACCAGTCCTGGTGGTCGTGATATACCTGGGCAGGGCTGGGAGGGGAGGGCTCCCCGAGAGATCCTTGCTGTGGGGGCCACCGTTGCAGCAGAAGAGGGAAGCCTCGGGAAGACACAGATCTCACCTGTGGGGGTGGGGTGGGGACTAAAGACTTCCTTGGCTGCTTCTACCTCTCCCAGCGGCCCCACGGCTCCCGGCAATGCCACCCAGGCTCTGGCCAGTCCTCAGAGCGATGGGCAGATGCTCCCAGCTGAGGAGCTACCACCGCAAGGACCAAGAGAGTGGGAGAGGCTGGGCTTGCTGCCCAGAGAGTCTGTGCCAGGGGTCCCTGGGTGGCCCTCTGGCCCTCCACAAAGGGGCCCATCTTCACAAACGTCCTCCTGTGTTTGAACAAATCACAGAGAAAGAGCACCCACTCTGCTTCCTCTGCCCCTCCTCAGTAGACACAGAAGGGGAGGAATATACTTAGCAAAAGGGACTCAGGTTAGACAGCAGGTAGGACTTCCCAACAAGACCTTGGTGGGAACCTGAGGGCAGGGGACCCTCAGTAGAAAGGAGTTGGGACTGTGCTCTTAACCCCATTTCCCCCATGATGTGTCTATATCCAATGTGCTCCCCCAAAAGATGGGCCCCTCTCACTCTACAGAGCTCCTCCTATAAAGCGTTAGAGTCCAGACTATCAGCACCTTCTGAGATCTCTATCACCCTCTAGGAAGTTCTTCCTCCATCTAACCACAGCCCCTCCATGGAATTATAGTCTGAAACCCGGAATCTTTCTAAATAAAAAGGCTTAAGATAGGAAGCATGGTACACTTCCAACAGCACAAAAGGGAAAGTATGTCTCCTGCCCACCCCGTCCCCAGCCACCCACCTCCTCTCCAAAAGGCAACCACCGGTCCCCGTGTCCTCCCTGAGATACTCCATATGCATGTATGCACATATGTCTACAACCCCCCTTCCATCTCAACACTGACCACAGCATGTTCAGCTTCCTAGACCAGGGCTCCTAGACTGAGGTCAAGATGAACCTCAGGGGACCCTGGCATCTGTGGAAATTGCATACAGAACCCTGGGTAGGCACCTGGACACTGTTTCCAGGAAGAAGGGACGCGTGAAAACCACCTGGCCTAGTCCCGCTCTTCATTGTACAGACGACATGGACGCCAGAGAGGAGAAGGCCTATGGCCAGGACCCTCAGCATGGTGGAGCCCCCACCCCCGCCTCCACCCACACGCACCAAGGAGCCCAGGGTCTCCTGCAAGGACAGGGTCTCAGAGGGCTGACCAAGGCCCAGGACGCAGCCAAGAAGAAGCCATTCCATTTGTACCGTGATGTGGCTTATTGAAGAGCCTGAGACTGAGCCTGGGCTCCCCATGCCTGGCCAGCGCTCCTAAGGTTCCCAGCCCTCCTTTCAGGACCCTTCCTGCTGTCTGGCCTTGCAAGGACCCCCCGCAGCACCCCCACCCCCGGGACGGTCTCTGGGGAGGAGGGGTGAACGCAGACAGGGTCTGTGCCTGCGGTCAGCATGAAGGAAGCTGCTGGGGGTCTGCCCACCTGCCGGCCTGAGCGTCAGTCTTCACAGCCTCCTTCCCTTCTGGGTTTTGGGGGCCTGGGTGGGGGAGGCAGCCAGTGACTGGGGTCAGCCCTGTGCCTGCACCGGTGGCCCCCCAGCCTGGAAAGGGGGTTCCTGGTGCAGGCGCTGGGACAGGCTCTGCACAGGAAGGAAGGGCAGGGCAAGGCACAGCGGGTGTGAGAGGGGCCATGGAGGGTGGGCTGCCGTTTGGAAGCAGAAAGACCCAGACCCAGACAGGGCAGAGGGGTGGGGGCCCTCCCTCGCTGGGATGCCAGCACTGGGCTGGGAGGGGCCAGGCGGGACACTCCGGAATGTGCTCTCAGAGTCCCACTGAGCGTATGCAGATGAGGCCGTCTGTATGCAGATGAGACCGTCTGTATGCAGATGAGGAGAAAGGGCATTCTCTTCCCAGGGTTACCATAGAGCCCAGCCCACCCCCTCCCTCAGGGCCCCAGCTGCAGGGCAGCCTGGGAAGTGGCCCGGCTGGGGAGAGGCAACCTGCCACAGAAGGTTAGACTTCGGGAAGGACTTACCCAAGGAAAATGGGCCGTTCTGGGAAAGGAGCTGGAGAGGAAATGGGTTATGTAGAGGGGCGGCGGGGCAAGCCAGCCAAAAAAGATGGGGGCGGACCATGACAGAACACAGCCAGAGGGAAACAGGCAGGCCGGCAGAAAGCTGGGAGCGGGACAGCGAGAGGAAGAGCTTGGACTGGGGGCTGGGCATCCACTTTGTGCCAGGCCCACTGGGTCCCCTCGGCTCCTGCCCGTCGCCCTGTGAGCCTTTCACAGACAGGGAGGACCCCCAGGCTGACGGAAACGTGCAGGACCCCCTGTTTGCAAATGGCAGGGCCCTGGCCTATCCAGCTCCGCGGCAGCTTAGAACCTTCCCCCTCCTTCCAGGCAGGGCGACCCGGGACAGCTCCTCCTACCCTGAGGGAGGGTGAGAGGTGTTCGGGGTCGGAGCTGTGCCTGGCGCAGGGGCCCTGGCTGGGAATTACTGGGAACTGGCAGCAGAGGGTGGGGCGGGCTGCTGGGAGTCGCAGAGAGGACAGATACCAGGAGGGGGACATCAGGGTGGGGAAGGATGCCAGGGTTAACGCAGTGGGGGAAACTGAGGCCAGGAGATTGGGAGGGTTGCCCTCCTCCCTCAGCAGATCCAAGTCCCAGCTGGGCCTGAACCCCAGGGCACCGGGCCCCCAGCCCCTTCCTGGGAGTGCAGAGGCCCGGAGTGGGGGTGTCTTTGAGAATAGCCTCTCCTCTTCCTCCGGTGGCCCCCGGCCCCCCACATCCAGTGGTGTAGCCAAGGCCTTTGTAGGGAAGCCGCGGGGAAGAGAGGCCCCTTGTTGGCCTGTTCATCTTGCCGGAGGCTCCACCAATGCCAGCCCCCGGCACCGGCTGGGCTCTCCTTCCTGGGGGTGCCAGTCGGCCCCCACCCGCCGCCGCTGCCCACTCCCCAGCTCTGTCGTTTCCTGGAGCCTCAGGGCTTTGGCCCCAGTCCCGGCTGGAGGATGGCGGGGAGCCCCAGGCCCAGCACCTCCCGCACCTCCCCTTTCACATACTGGCACCAGAGCCGTGGGAACGCTGGGCAGCAGCTGGGCACTGGTGCCCGGCTCTGCCCACCCCCAGCCCAGCCGACCTCAGAGAGGGGAGAGAGGCAGGCTGCCCCAAAAAAGCCCCTTCAGGATGGGGCCCTAGAAATCCTTAGCACTAATTATGAATCTGGGGACAAACAAGGCATTTGCAAGTCAATTAGTGACAGAACTTTCCCAGGAAAGAGCCTCATCCAGGCTCAGCTTCAGACTGGGCCCCATGCTGGGTCATCTTGTCCCTCCTCCTATCTCTGCCCTGCTCAGAGCTCAGGCACAGAGGCCGGCCCCGTGTTCTGCCAGCCCCTCTGCAGCCGAGGGTGCCAGAACCCGGAGTGGGCAGGAGGCTGGGGGCAAGGCCGTGCTCTGCGGAGGGCAGCCAGGGCTCCCTCCAGCTCTGCCCCCGGGGAGGGACGCAGGTTCCACCTGCAGCACGAGCCTGAGGCTCCCGCGCGGGATTGCAGGGGAGCCGGCTGGCCTGGCGGCGGGCAGGGCTGAGTGGACAGGAAAGGAGACGTCATTGTGAAGGGGGGGGGCGGGCAGGAGGCAGCCCAAGGGGGTTCAGCTACACCTATGGGAACTTCAGGTGGGCCGGCCGCCATCTGGGGCCACTTCTCACCGGCGGGGAGACAGGGCGGGATGTTGCTCCTCCCAGGCCTGGGAAAGGCGCTTTCTGCCTAGAGGACCCCTTAATTGGGGGAACTGGAGGGGGGAAGGGGCTGTTGGGGCAAAAGCCCTAGAGCCAGCCTCGCTAGCCATCTGAGGGAGATTAAGGGATTACAATTAAAAGGCGTTTGCAGACCGAGCAGGTGGGTTGGGGCTGGTGCTAACGATCTAATTGCCGCCTTGCAGCAGCGCTTTAGCGGGGCTCTAATGAGCGGGTGTGGGTTCTTCGAGGGGCGGGCGGGAAGAGGCGGAGTGCAGGGGCCAGGAGGGGCGGGGCCTCACCCTGAACACCCGAGCCCCAAGGTTACACCACAGAGACCCCCTGCTGCCCTCCCCAAGGACCCAAGATGAGGCAGCATCACAGGGCTTTGGGGGCGCGAG